GCCATAAAAAATGACAAATGATTGTGGATAGAGTTATGCTACATTACGAAAGAAGTTGACAAAATTGGATGATAAAATTACATCCACACCAATCATTTCAAAAATAAATTTTTAAATAATTTGAAATCAATGGCCTGGATTTTGTCAACACACTTTGTAATCCAACTTTGTACAAATAACTTTATTGTTGTAGATATACATGTCCAAAATGAAAACAAGCTTTCCATTAGATATAAGTTTTAAGGTTTGAGATCACGTGAATGCTCCAACATGGCTGCAAGAATGGACAAAAACAGTTTTGCAAAGTGATTTCTTCAATTTCACAAATAAGATTGAAAGAAAGAGCTAAGGATATTAGGATTCAAAACACGACAAATTTACCAACCGGCAAAATATTCGAGTTACTTTTAGTTTATTTGTTTGAAAAGTTGAAGCTCAATATTAATTAGAAACTACTTTTACATTTTCAAAGGTTTAAGAGTTTTCAAAAGTTTTGATTTTTGACAAGGTATTAGAAACACGAATACTAGCATTTTAAAGGTTGACAAGGCAATGGAGTCGGCTACCGAAGTTTATCAAGGTACGAGAAAGCCGGGCTCTATAAGCAAAGCCCAGCCACAAGAAGGGTCGATAAGAGGCCAAGCTAAAGAGCTCGATCGCGTTAGAAGATTACTAGCGACTGGATATGCTGTCTAATTTTCAGCTGTTATATCATAGACATGTCCAATAAACAAGAGTTATACAATTTATTTTTCTCTTTTGCGTATATTCGAATATGTATTGTAATAAATATTTATTTATTTTACTTGCAACTATTAAGTCGAACAAAAGTAAAAAGAAAAAAGAAATGCTACAATGCCGGGGGAAAATTTCACAGGCTTCTTACAGGCCTTTCACAAACAGGTGGATCCCACCTCATTAAAAAAATACCCCAAAAATCATGGGACCCTCGTGTTTGTGAGAGGCCTGTATTCTCCCTGTGAAATTTTCCCTTGGTATTGTGGCATTTCTCATCCAAATTTGAGTCTCAAATCATACTCAAAGTCTGCCATTTTGAGGCAAATTCTTGTTTCTTGGATGGCTATGATGGCATGTTGATGCATGGTACTAACGCAAAATGTGCTTTTGAAGCCATAATCAATTTTGGTGACTCGAATTCTGATACGGGTGGTCTTTATGCATCCTTTCCTGCGCAGAAGCCTCCCAATGGCATGGCCTACTTTAAGAAACCAACTTGTCGACCCACAGATGGGTCACTCTACATCGTATTCTTGGATAACTTCTTAGAATAATTCCATAGGTACAGAAAACTATTGACAAAAATGATATAGGTGTTGTACTGGCAACATCTGTATGATGCAATTTCTGTGTTTGTTGTGTCAAGAACCAATGAAAATCTGTCAAGTGGTTTTCTGTAAAAATTCTGTCAATTTTTTCTGTACTTATAGCAAAATTGTACTTCTTACTCTTACCATGTCTCAATGAATCCATGAAAGGGTTCGACTAGGTCCCTGGACATTCTTTCATAACGTAATGTTAAAGATCTTTATCTGACAGACTGTTTACAAGTTTCTTCCATTGACATTTCTTAGCACTTATCTCCAATCGATTGAATCTGATTCTAGACATGGTGCGAACTTCGCCACATCAGGATCCTCAGTACTGCTGCCTAATACTTCTGTATTTGTAAGTAGAACTAGTCCATTCTCTTTGGCTATTCAACTCAATCAAATGAGGCAATTGAGTCAGAGTTGATGAACTCAACTCCAGTGGTAATCGAGTTACTCCTCATCGACACACTCATTTTTTTCTTTCATGGACCTAAGTAAATGACTGATTTTTTTCCAAATACTCATGGAGTCTGTTGGGTTTTTTTGATGTGGAATTTTGTTCTAGACGTAACAATCTTCCTCCACTGGACATATTCTGAAAAGCCCTCTAAACAATCTACATTGGTCATAATGACTTCACCTCAAGCTTATCAGCTATTGGAATCAGTGGAGTTAAGCAAATGCCATTCTCAATGGCTCATATTTTGATCCTCCTTTCAGCTTAATAAGTTTTTTGATATTCAATCTATTGGTTGGGACGATCCTATCGTTGTAATGAGCGAAGAAGAAATCAAGAGGAAAACAAACAAACACTTGGTGACGCCACTTTTGACTTTCATAATTGAGTTTTTTTGTCTTAAATTCTAAAAAATGTATATGCTGATGACACTTGACAAGGCGTGAGAATATTTGTGGTTGTTTTGTGACTTTGGCATGCAATGGACGTTCAAATTAATTGGATACGAGAGAAAAATTAAGTAGAGTAATTAAATTTAGTCCATGACTTCCACACTTAAAATTACGTAATTTCTTGTCCAACACGTAATCCTTGGCCATTCTCTCCTTGAATTTTGTTGCCTATATGTCACATGGTAGATCTTATTTTCGCCTTACAGTGCATTCTTGTTTAATTTAACTTATAGATCGCTTTGGTGATTCATCTAATCTTAAAATAAAAAGTGCCTCTCCAATCTCCTTTTTTCACCGAAGGTTTGATGTGGAGGATTTACACTCAGGATACCAGCTACTCCTATACCATGTTCAATGAACACCTTCGTTGAAAAACTTAAGTGATTTAACTATTTGGCTCTTGTTAGTAAACACTCGAGCTTAATTTTTATTCACACGTGTCGAGGGACTTACATGTATTACCCTTTTATTTACCACTCATTTTTATTTATTTATAATTTAAAACGTTTGTAAATACTTTCTAAATATGCTCTCTAAGTAAAAAATAATATTTATTTTATATTATAGCACATGACATTCTAAAAGATTCTTATTTTGAAATTTTCTATCCTTGTTTCTCACTTCATAATTTGTCATATTTTGTTGACATTTTCTTTCTTTCTATCAATTTTTTGTTGACATAACCTTTCTTTGAGCCAATTACGGCACATGCCATTCACAAGGATTCTTATTGTAGACATTTTTATTCTGCATAGCTACATGAAAAGTATCAAAATTCATCGTCGAGGGAATCATAGAAACATTTGCTGGACCATGCAAAATCAAATCATACTATACGTTTATGACTAATTCTTCACAGAACACTTTTAAAATACTCACATGAGTGGACCCCATTTGAGTAGAATATTGCAAATCACCCCCCCTCCCCCCCACATTGTGAGTATTTCGTAGGCCCTGTACATCAAGCATTTTTCATACACTTATTCCCACACAATGGAGCCCACAAGAAATTTTTTGAAGGATTTTATTTTGGGTATTTCATATGTATTTTAGATTGTCATAATATTCATATTTCCTACTGTATGAGGGTATACATTTGTTCTCCAATCTGCAACATCAAGCAAGCAGGCGTAACACTTATATTGATAACGAACAATTACAAATCTGTGTTTATTATTTTCACATTTCATTCAATTTATTATTGCTCTTGTAAAAAGAGTATGTGGATTAATCTCGAATGGTATATCCATTATTCATAAACAACAAGATGAGACCAGAGCAGTCTAGCAGTGTTTTGGTGAAGTGACTTCCCTGTCGATACTGTTGAATTCGTCAATTTCCGCTTATAATTAATTATTTATTGTTTTGTTCACAATGGTCATTCACATGGTTTGTATTGACACAGAAGACTAATAAATTAACATATGAATTTTTATTTTTTTCGATATTTTTTGCTTCGAATCAATAGCAACAAACTATGTCTTAGTTTCATAAATTTGAAAGTTAGCTACATGAATACTTTTTCATCATTTCATATGATTCCTTTCTTCAATCTTGAATAAAGTACAAGGATTGCAGTCAATAGTTAGTGCAAAATTTGTCATATTTTACGATATGCATCTTATACGAATAATTAAGAACTCCACATGTTTTCATAGTCGGCCCATTCTTGAATAAAAGGTTTGATAAGTTGACAGTCAAGATAGAATTCTGTTACATCTTATGACATGAATCTTTACCGTATTTATATTTTCATAGTCCATCGCAAATTCGAAAAAATTTAACGAGTGTGACACGTAAACAACCAGGTTAAAACTTTATCATATACTATATAAGATCAATCCCTTTTTGGCAGTTTTCATCCAATTATAGAAGAGAAAACCTTTAAACATACACTAATTGGTAGTTCAAGTGGGAATCTTTTCATATCTAATCATCTACACATTATTTTTTCAAGAAAGCAATATCTTAACCAACAAATTGAACTACTGACTTTTTTTTTTTTGAAGTTGATTATTTAATTTGTTTTCTACTTATGCGGACCCAATCATAGAGGTTAAGTTTTCTAGTCAATCAATTTAGATTATTGTGTATTAGCAGGCTTGCAATTTCTGTTGTTTTCCACTGGACAAAGTTTATTCAAGTTGGACCAACTGGCTGGCTACCTTTAAATTAGAAAATTAATTTTCTAGAGCATATTTGATACACATTATTAAATTGTACTAAAAGAAGATAATATGTCGATCAGGGTAGAGAACGGAAAATTCCGTATGACTCGATATATTGTGCATAATCTCAAATATTATTGCTTTAAGTGAACATTATAATTTTATTCTTATTTAATGTTGTCGTGAATAATCTATACCACTTTACAGAATATGTAGCTAAAATACAACGACGGTAAATATAATCTTTGGCTATACAATTCACGTACTATGTAATCTTAATGATCGAATAAATACACGAAATTTAGAATGCATGACCAAAAAATATTCATTTTCTCACAACTTCTGTTGCACCCTACGTATAATCTTAGATCGTAGTTTGGTAATGTCTAATTAATCCACAGTTACTAAAGAAAAGCAATGGCAAGAGATAATCTTTGTTTAAACAATTCAGATACTATGTAATCCTAATAATCGAATAAATACATGAAATTTAAAACTTACGATAAAAAAATATGTTCAATTTTTCAATAAAATGAATCAAGAACCATTATCAATGTGAAAAAGAAAAAAAGAGGAAAAGAGGAAATCCAGGCTAAGGAATATAAGAACTTTCAAGTTCTGGTTGAGTTCTGATACCTGAAGCTGAAGGCATTCTACTTCTCCCAATCCAAATAGTATCCAAAACCTCATTTCTTTCAGATTGTCTCTCCATTTTCTTGATTTTTCCCCCTTTAATCAATTTGTATACCATAATCACAACCACAAGAAGCAAGATCAATCCCACAATTCCTCCTGCAAATCCAATCACCCACCACTTTCAAGTTCTGGTTGAGTTCTGATACCTGAAGCTGAAGGCATTCTACTTCTCCCAATCCAAATAGTATCCAAAACCTCATTTCTTTCAGATTGTCTCTCCATTTTCTTGATTTTTCCCCCTTTAATCAATTTGTATACCATAATCACAACCACAAGAAGCAAGATCAATCCCACAATTCCTCCTGCAAATCCAATCACCCACCACTTCCAAACCCGCTCTTTCGTCATTTCATCAGATGGTCGAGATGGAACGACAATAGAGAAATGCCCGTGTCCACGAGCCATACATGAATTATTCCCGGTAACATTGCTTAATTGCACCGTGCCATTAGTACTAAACCGAACGCATTTCATCCCCACACTTAAAGAAACATTAGGAAAACGAACTACGATTGGATTATCCCCCATGAGATTTAGCTCTATCAGGTCATAATGTGGTGACCTAGTACTCGAATCATAGGCCAACAACCCCAACACAGGAGCAACAAAAGTATAATTCGACACGTTATAATACAAAGTCGACCAATTACCTAGATTTTGATAGACTAAATCAACTCTCCTAGAAAATGGCCATGGTAAAATCCTTGTTGGGATATCAAAAAAACTGAAATTAGCTCCCTTCATCCATAAACTGCGAGTTCTT